GCTGGAGTTTGAACTGAACTGTCTTTGTCAGCAGCACACACACCAAGCGCTCGCCGCGTTGCTCGCCTGGTTACAACGATGTTCTCATTAGCACATGGATGCAAGCTCTTTCTCTGATTCTTCTTCTCATTATCGTGATTTCAGTAACCACTTCATAATATTATTATTTCTTTATCCTGGTGTAAATGTCATGGAGGTTTATAGAGAAAGGCTCCAGCCAGATGGGGGATTCAAACCCAGGCAGCAATGCTAACGTATTACATCATTACAGCTGAGCATTATTTATTATTTATAGTAAATAAATAAAACTCAGAAACATACAGTCTCAAAAGCAGCAGGTGACCAAAGGAGAGAAGAGAAAGAAGATTCAAATTACACTTATCACAACATCATCACGACACCTAACATAAAGAAATAAAGAGCAGGTCTGATTTTGTGCTTGTTATAACACTTTATTTGATTATTGTCAAAATGTTACTAAAAATGTGAAAATGTTACTAAATGTTGGGGAAATTAAAAAGCTGAAAGACTGCTTGTCCTGTGGACCTCAGGGAAATGACACACACTGTGTGCAGTGTGAAAACAGATCTTTTAGCACCCCCTCCTGGCAGATACGTGCATGTGCAGAGTGAGACCTGCAAACATAAACTTGTTTCCTGTGGACTGACCAACAAACAGCTGCTGACAGCTGCAGCCTCGGTGTGTCACGACTGTAAGAGAAGCGTAGTTTTGGATCTCGGTGTCGCCGTGCCGGCTTCTTTTATGAACCGCAGAGATGCAGCTTACATGGTTGGATGCATCGGTGATGAGCAGCTGGAGGAGTACGGAGCACTAGTGGATGATTCTCTGGAGCGGCGTGGAGCAGCCACAGACCTTTCGTTAATTTTACACCATCAGAGGAATTGTGACACCTGCCTGTTTTACACACCTGAAAGACTTCAGCCTGTAGTTTTAGATTGAGAGTCGAGACAAGTGTCAGAAGTGATCTGTGACAGAAGGCGAGCAGCAAGAGGGAAAGGGAAGGTTTAAAGAGTCCTCCCGTGATGGTTTAGAGACGGTGGAGGCCGAGATGAAGATGCTCAGATGCTCACTGGGAGGGAGCATGATGGAGTCAGAGAGGCTGAGATGGTCTGAGCATGTGCAGAGGAGGGAGGGGGGATGATGAAGATGGAACTGCCAGGCAGGAGGAGAAGAGGAAGACCTCAGAGTGTAGTGAAGGAGGACATGCAGAGGGTCGGTGTGACAGAGGAGGATGCTGGGATAGGAGGAGGTGGAGGCAGATGATCTGCTGCGGTGACCTCTAAAGGGAGCAGATGGGAGGAGAAGAAGAAGAGTGAGGGAGGAATCACCTCTACTGCTACAGCTGACAGAGAGATGGTGGCTGACTTCAGAAGGAAGAGGACGACCTGCGATAGGACGTGGATCTGTTGGAGGAGCTGGAGCACCTGGGCGTCCACGTGACACAGCAAGAAGTTTATTTTACTCTCAGTTTCTGTCATTTACTTATTAAAATTGAATTGGGATGAAGGGTTTTACGTTCACAGCCGTCACAGATCATTAATCTGGAGATGAAGCAGCTTAAACAGGTGAGCGGCAGAGACAGATAACTCCTCCCCCCGCTGCTGTCGTTCAAAGCGGTGCGTTACCATGGAGACAGAGGGAAGCCTGTCAGGAACAAAACAGGCAAGCGTGAAAACAAACTTTTTCAGATCAGCCGTTACACGCCGTTTGTAAGCCCGGACACGTTCACTGTTTTATTCATGCACTGTCGTTTCAATCGAAAGATTTGATTTTCTTCTACTGCCATGCATTTGTTCCTTTATACAAATTAAAAAATGTTAAATGTGACCAAATATTCCAATAATATTTCATATGTAAAAGAATAAGCGGCTACTGATGATTTTTAAAAACTCAACTAAACCCGTGTCCCTTTGCCAGAGGACCGCAGCGCCTCACGTTTCACGTGTAAGTAGGAAATTCACATATTTGAACCACTTTGAGTCATTTTTAAACAAAAACAATCATTTCCATGAAATTTGACCCTTCGAGCTTAAATTAGAACCTGTTTTCTATAATAACACAGCCGATTGGTGTAATCGCAGCAACTTTGCATTTCTCTGCGCATGTTGAAGATTCTGTGTCAAGCTAAACGTGTGGCCTTAGTACATTTTTTAGTTGCTTCTGATCTGATTGGAGACGCTGCTACTTTTTGCAGAACTTCTCATGTTCATGTAGTGAACATGCATTGGACATGTAGTTGCAGGTGTTGCTGTTGTGTTACAGGTCTTTGAAGCCGCCGGGACTAGATGAAAGTGTTGCAGTAGTACTCAGTTAGTTGCAGGTGTTGCTGCAGTTTTCATAGTTGGTTTGGTTGTACCTGCAGAACCTCCTGCGTTCAGTGGCAGGTGTTGTCTAAGTTGCATCGTTTGCAGTGACAGTGGTTTCGGTGTTGCTGTTGTTTCAGTGAATAGTTTGGTTGCAGAATTCCCCATATTTAGTTACAGGTGTTGCTATACCACATCTTGACTTACATGCCAGTTTTTGAGCTCAGTTGTAGACGATCTGGAGTTCAGACCAGCTGCATTGGTCTGTATTTTTGTTTATTTGCAGTAAATGCAAATATTAGTCCAGCAACACTGACGCACCGGCGCATGTATCAAGCTCACAGAGCGAAACCTGTATCAGTGCGTGTTTCGCGTTGAGAAAAAGTCACGTGATCGATACAGCTGCTGCCAAACTGTGTTTAAAAGGTACTAAATTACTCTCGCAAAGATAAAAACAAAAAACATATCTCTCTATAACAAAATGCAGCCCAAAAGAAAAAGAAAGATTTCTGCTGTGTGGGATCATTTTGATCTTTTAACTGCAAATAAGGTAACTGTTTGTCTGTCTTTGTTTCAGTGTAATCTATCAGAATAGGAACAACAGCAACGTGACCTGCAGTGTAAAATATTTATTTCATGTTATGCAGGTTAAATGTCGCATCTGTTCTGCGGAGCTTTCTTACACAAACAAAAGCACCTCCTCAGTGTTTAGGCGTTACAGAGCCAAACATGAAAATGAGGAGACAAGCACACCGAGAATGAACACAGGTCGGCCTATACAGACACTGAACAGCTTTATCGTCATTTTTTTATTAATATGTGTTCTATTATTTTGAAATCAAGCATCTAGGATGACTGTTCTGGACCAGGCAGTCCTGGATTTTATTATAAATGACTGCCAACCCCTTAGTATTGTGGAGAGTGACGGGTTCTACATTAATGAGAATATGCAGTTGTGCGCATCTGTGTTGGGTGTGAAACACTTTCCACAAAGTCACACTGCAGGCAATTTGGCCCAATTCAAAACAGGCATGATGGATGACTGGGCCATCACAAATAAGGTGTCTTGTGACCAACGCAGCACCAAACATGACTGCAGCAACAAGAACTCTCCAAATTCGACATTCAGTTTGCATTGCACACAAACTCAATGTATTAGTCAAGAAATCATGCGATCAAATCCCTGAACTTTCATCCATAAGAGACAAATCTAGACAGATCGTATCATTCTTCAGATCCAGCACTGCAGCCAAAGAAAAGCTTGCTCAAGTGCAGCAGCAGGCTGGGTATCTGTTGCTTCTCTTCCAACAGATTTAACTCCACATACGGCTGATGAGTGTGACATCGTAAGGGAAGCACTTCTTGTGTTGGTCCCTTTCCATCAGGCCACAGTGGAGTTGTCAGAGGTTCAGGATCAAAGGTGATGATGATGAAAATGCTATGTTTGGCACTTGAGCAGAACTCTTTACATCTACACACACAAGCAGCCACCCATCTCCATGACCAACTGAGGCGTCGTGTCACAGACACTGCTTCTAATCTGGAGTCATTCAGTGTGTTGACCCTATCAACACTTTTAGACCCCAGATTTAAAACACTCGGATTTCATAGTTCCTCCAAGTGTAGTGAGGAAGTCAATCGCCTGAGAGTGGAGTGTGCTGCAGTAATTGCCTGCACAACATCTGAGCCACAGCCTGGACCTTCATCAGAGCAGTCACCTGTTCCAGGCAAGTTCAGTATTATCAGCTTATTCGTACATTTATTTTGATACTAATGTGTGCGAATTTGGGGTAGATGACCAAAACTAAAACAGCCATGCATTTTTTATTATTTCAGAAAACCTGTGGCAGCGGCTCGATGGAGAAGTTGGCAGACAACCCAACAACGCAACAGCAGACTCCATCACTGAGGTCCAGCGCTACTTGGCGGAGAGAAACATTCCAAGATCAGAGGATCCTTTAACGTACTGGGGGAATAGGAAGACATCTTATCCGAACCTTTCCCACCTGGCTTTACAGTTTTTGTACCCCAGCTTCATCTGTGCCTGTGAGCGTGTTTTCCAAAGCTGGGGAAATGGTGTCAAAAAAATGCAATAGGCTGAATGTAAAAACATTGGATAAACTTATTTTTCTGAATAGAAATTTATAATAAACTCTTGAGTCAATTACATTTAAATGGGTAATGTTACATTTACAATACTTTCATTTTAATTTTCACTTAATGTCATTCGCAACATATTTCAAAGATGTCTACAATATTTGAAATGTAAAAGATATAAAATGATTCCATGGAAAGTACCTTACAGTGTTTACAAGTATGACTAGGTCATTGAATCAGTGTCTGTTGTGAGTCTCAAGTAAGTTGCCTGCAATGACATTTAAGGTCCAGCAGGTGTCAGTATGGAGCAAAACAGCAACACTGTCGACACAGTATCGAAGTTTGGGGAATGTGCTGAAACGCTTCACGAGGCCTCATTTACACATCACTAGCAAATATGCTTGTTTTTATTAAATACTTTGACGAGTCTACTTTAAACAGCTGTGCAGTTACAGAAATAAAGCACCGAAGTAGCATATCCTTATTTTACACATTAAACATGTCCACAGACGTGTTCTCCACCTCGGAGCTCAAATCTGCTGCAAACTGAAGTAGTAAAGGCACCCACACATGACAGGCTTATCAACTGCAGAAATTTTATTGAACCAAATGTGGAACTTGTAAAACACTCTCCATCACAGTAGCACAGTGCGACCTGGCCATGGCTTTGTGTTCGTTTTAAACCATTATTATTTCAGCATCACTACATCTGAACTTGTTTATAAATTATTGCATTACAGGAAATTAATAGATTCAAGTGTCCATAAACCACAGGTTCAGTACCAAATTTGCTGTGGGGCTGAACCAGAAAGCTGGTTGAGGACCCGAGCAGGAAACCCTCACTAATGAATCCCAAAAGAAATGAAACCAGCTTGGACTAAATTTCCCACCCTGGTGTAACTTTGCCATCTGATCACAGTGAACAGACTCCACCTTCCTTACAGGCCTCACGTCAGTCAGTGTGATACTTTGATTGGCAAAGAGAAGAAAACGCACCCAACAAGAAGCCCAAATCTGCTGGATGGTGGTGAAGATGGTCACTTAAATGCTCTCCACTCAGATGGATGTAAACAATGGCAACTTATGAGGCAGGACGAGAGGAGGTAAAGATCTGGAGCTGGCCAACTACAGAAACCCCTTTCTGCTTTTAACAGACATCCTCAGCACCTCCTCCGACCTGCAAACACTGGGACCCTCCTGCACACCCAGCCCCCACCCCGTTCCCCATGACACCACTCGACTCCAAAATATGGAGACTCATCGTTTTATTGAAACACCTTAAGAGTACAAAACAAAAACGTTACATGAGACTGTGCCTCCGTACTGTGGCACGAGACCTAAAAGAAAAAATTTAAAAGGAAATAAACAAAAGGGACGAGGAGGTGGAAGTGTGTGGGAGGGTCATCACCACTCATCCCTGATGTTGTGTGGAGCTGCAGTGGTGTGTCTTTGTGAGAGCGAGCCTGCCCCCTGGTGTTGTAGGGGGGCGGTGGTGTTACAGAGTCCCATGTTTGTTTCAGAGGTAATTCACGTGTTAGCTAACAGGAGCTGGTGGGATTGCAAAGAGGGGAGGGGGGAGGAAGAGCAACAGCAGCACATAGGAGGGGGTAGAGATGTAGCGGGGTGGGGAGTTTAATGGCCTTTGAGGAGAGGGGGGGTGGGTCGAGAGCAGCTCCTAGAAGCCGTGGACTTTGAGCTGCTCCTCCTTGGCCAAGTCAATCTACAGAAGACAAAGGGATCCAATTACACTCGGCAACTTTGAGAACAAACATCAGGGGCAACATCTGGACGAACACCTACCTCAATGAGGAACTGGCAGATATTCTTGCGCTGGTCTCCCTGAAGCTGGATCACTTCACCATACTCTGGGTGCTCAATCACTGTCCCATTGCAGGCAAATTTCTGTGGAGACAAAAACATGTCAATCAGCAAAAACGCTGCAGCAGCAGCAACAACCAGAACCACCTCCAAACTCTGAACAAAGCAGCGCTGTGGCTGTACCTTCTTGAAGGCCTTGACTAGCTTCTTCTTGTCATAGTCGGCAGAGATGCCCTGGACAGTGGTGAGGGTCTTCCTCCCGTTCCGCTGTTGGATTCTTATGTGGATGTAGTCCTCTGTCCCGGCTGGGAGGCGGTCATCACCCTTAGTTGCATCAGCAAAGGGGTCTGGAAAGAGCAGAACACAATGGAATTATGAACACATAAGGCTGGCAGCTCACCCAGCTGATTTACATACAGATTGGCTGTCCTGCTGCCAAATCCTGCCCGTGTTTACCACTGGGGGTTCATATTTCAAATGAAGAGCTGCAGATGCAGCAGGTCGGGCTAGCAAGCTCGTAACCATTGCCAAATAACAGCAGAGTCATGGCAGGGTGACTTCAGCGGCACCACCGAGCCCGCGGTATATCACACCCCAGACATTTATCCGATATTTTAACGCCACCAGTAAATAAACTCAAGAAGAAAAAAAAAAGGCGGCAAAGGTTTCTAAGAAAACAAATATGTAGCTCGAAGCGGCTTTTGGGCCTAATGGCGGCCGTTTTGACGTTAGCAAGGCCGCTAAACAGCGTTTTTCCACAAAGTTAACACACCCGGGCAGACATTTCCCATTTATTTTCTCCAGTTTCACGCTTTATTTTGATCGAATTAGTAAGGTAAAAAGCAGGTAAATGAAACTACGCCACAGGAAATAAGCCTCGGCCCCAAGCTGAAGCTGGACGTTAGCCCCGTGAGCTCTCGCCCTTCCCCCACCCTCTGCGACTGCTCTCTTCGATCAAAAACCACTCACCAAAAGTTTGGAGGTTCTGGATAGCGGACATACGATAAGATTTGCTTTCCTTTCGGATAATAACTTGGTCAGCTAGCGGTCCGTCGGCTGCTTTAGACTCTTTTGTTCGTGTCTTCTGAGGTTCTTGGGGACGACACACGGCTCGGCCTCGGCAGCTTTCACAAAATGGAGATCGCGTAAGGTTGGCAGTGCTGGAAAACAACCCTTTATAGCTCCGCCCCGAAACTGGCTTTTGCACGTCTTTGACGTAAGAACGGCACGTCGCAGGCAGCCACGCCCAGAACTCTTTCTCAACTTTACCGGAAGGGTGACGTCATGTTGTTAGATTTCAGTCAAATTGGCAACTGGAAAATTACAAATAAACATATAATTATATTTAAAAATGTATAGACACAGACACACACAAATATATAATTCAAAAGTGGACATTGGTTGTACACAGATGTTTTGCTTTTGCTTTGGCAGCAACTTAAACAATTGAGTTAAATTAACTCACTTAACTTTAAAACATGAGGAAGTTGTGTTGAATACACCCAAGGTGCTTATATAAATCCAAGAGATGGCCAGTCTATTTTTTTTAGTTTAGCTTAATAAATAAAATGATTTTTTACGGTTTTGAGTTCTAAAAACTTTAATATTTCTCTCATATTTGTTGTGACTTGGCCGATTTAATCAGAAATGTTTTTCCTTTGTATCTTATTGTCATAGTTAATAAATAGAATTACATTTCTTAGATTATTTCAAGTTGTAGTGTCTTTATTATTCATTCATTAAAATTCTGATTATAATTTGTTCATTTAAAAATAAAATAAATAAATAAAGGATAACATAAGGATAACACCGTAGCTGCCTCCACCAGTGTGTGAATGTGAGAGTGAATGAATAGTGGCATTGTAAAGCGCTGTATAAATCCAATCCATTAATAAGGTGCACTTAACTGATCTAAGAGCTGGGAAATCTACTCGACACAGGGGTGGGAAGTGAACTTAAACTAAACCTACATCAGCTCGGTCTCGTTTGGTTGGTTGTAACATTCGTATATGTTGTTTCTTTCACTCCGTCCATTGTTGTCTTTTTCTGTATGACTGGATAAATCCGACTACTGTGTCTCCCTCCTCAGAGTATGGATTCTCAGGTATTCAAGTTTGTGAATGTAATTCTTTGACCCTCCTTCCATACTTTCTCTCGTTTTACTTAAACTGCAGTGAAATTCAAATTTTATTTTTTACAAAGCCAAAAAGGAGAAGATATCTAAAAGTCAGTAGTATAGTATCCTATAGTTCTTTGATCTAACACTCACTCAGCTGACACATCAGAGCCAACCTGTGGCTCAGTCACCTGTGAACAGGTGGACTGGAGGAGGTGAGGACTGGCCTACTGTGCCCCTCCTTCATTTTTCCTCTTCTGCATATTCTCCTTCAGCCAACAGTAGTTTCTACCAGCATCCTGCTGAACAATCGCACCGGAGGTGGTCATTTACCCGCCCGGACTGATCCCATTTGAACAATTTACGATGATGTAAATGAATCCATCAACAATAGAGCTGTGTTAGTGCATTGTTCATGTTGAAAAGAAAAACATTTTAGACATACCTATTCCTTTATTAGTAACCCATCTATTTAAGAGATTTAGTCACAGGCCGTATTTCATGTTCCAAAATACCACACTTACAATAGTTACTTAAAATGTCTTGCAGTTTTTATCCAAGTCTTCGTCTTTGCTGTGCAGAAATTCACATCCATAACTTTGACTTGTTTGGATTCCTTTGGAAACTAAAACGACAGTGAGGATGACTCCTGTGTGAAATCTCCACACCACACGTACAGCCGAATGATGAGGGGACAACTTTATACACAAAACATCAAATCTTTATTGAAAGTCACATTTGTGTACAAGAGAAAAACCGTGTCTTTGTACAGAAGCCGAGACTGAAGCAGTCGTTAGCGCCGCGGTCACAGGACCAATCAGGAGAACACGGACACGTCGGCGCAACACGCCACCTTAACAGCTAACCAGCAAAACTCAACTGCTACACAACTGCGCCTAGTGCACAAAGAAACACACGAGCAGGGTTAGCATTAAAAAAAGAACAAAGGAGTCAGTGTGTGTCTGTCCTGAAAAGGTTGGAATAACCTGACAAACACTGAGCTGCACAAATGTCTAGTTTGTGTTTTTTTAAATGCGGAAATTCAATGAAAAAGCTAAATAAACACACTGAAAATAAGAAGCTACAGTTCTACAGGGTAAAAGTGTTTCATGTCACTTTATCAGACAAGAAAAGCAGATGGAGGTGCGACAGAAAACAAATGGATGCTTAAAGTATAATTCTGGCTTGGTTTTTCAGAGATTTGGGGATTTAAGGAGCAGCGCTGGACGGCCTGAGCTTCCCTGCAGCTTCTGAAGAAGCTCCCGATCCGTTCTTTCCTTTGGAACACTTAAAATGACTTGTGTGTGACTCGTATTTTCATTAAAGCCGTCTCATCAATATAAATGTTGATTTTGTTGATAAGTAAGGTAAAGTTTATTTATTAAGCGCTTTTTGCAGACAGGCAGTCACAAAGCGATGTACACGAAGGTTAAAATAAAGAAAACATTAAGTAATTTAAAAAAAAGTAGTTTGTGTGTCACTCAGGAGCTGCTGCAGCTTCCAGGAAACGCAGTAAAGGACTTCACCGTTTTCCTTCTGCTGATTTAAATCACTGTATTTCTTTAAGGTGAGCTCATCTGAGGTGTCACCTGCTGCGTGTAACAGCAGGCCACACCCCCACGCAGACTAAGTCCACATACAGCTGTGAACACAGCCATCTCTGGAATTGCATCAGGAAGTGAAACTGCCGAACCAAACACGCTGCGCTGGTCGTGGAAATGGACGCCGTCTTTCCACACTACACCAGGCTCCGTTCACAAAAACTGGAATTTTAACTCACAGACACTTTAACCTGCTTTGTGAGTCTTTGGTGTTTTAACAGTGAATTCAGATGCTGATTTAAAGAGCGATCACTGGACTGTGGTGGCTCTGACTGCAGCTCTGGGTTTCAATCTGGACCTGCAGTGTTTGCTCAGGTATAAACGCTTTCCCGTAGCCCCACCCCCAAGAAGATCTACACATAAATTATCCTTTAAGCATTATTTTGTGGGCCTGTATCACAAAGGGAGATTACAGCTAATTTCAAGCTTAAATTAGGTTTTCTGTTATCATAAAGGACAGTTTGGACACAAAGGACAGACCTTTGTGTCCAAACTCAACTAAAAACATCAGATGTATTATTATAGAAGGTTTATTAATATTAGAAACTGAGGCGATTCACCCATCAGGCCTGAGTTTTGTCAGCAATAATAGTACACAATTCATCAGTTCACACATGTGACTGTGTTGCAGTTATGACACCTTTGTGATACAGGCCAGAGAGGAGATGATAATATGAGAGGAGTGGAACATTCTATCTTATGAGCTTTCATTTTTAAATCCAGGTCTGAACACACCATTTAAACCGTAATCGGGACATGAAAAGGAAACAAAATCACAATAAATCAGCGAAAAAAAGGAAATGAACCAAAGCACGGAAGACAAAATAACCTTTCACAGCTGGACTCTGGTGCTTGCGTGGGAGCCGGTCCGGGAGGTCACACGTCTTTAACCGAAACTGTGAATCAAAGAAACGTCAGGAATAAAAGTTAAAGAAAGTACCAGCTGACACAGAAAGAAGCATTTTATACGAGGCTGATCAGAAACGTGCAAATTTACACGTAAAATCCAGATCACTGGAGCAGAGATCGTGATCGCCTTCTGTTCATCGAACTCTCATTTTACTCTCTGGCTGTGATCACGCAGAAATATTTGGCGACTTATTTTAGGGTTAGCTACTTTATGCCCATCTGAGAAAAACACAACACACATGTGGAGGAAGCCCTTGCTCTTATTTTGAAAGTTCGGCAGCTGCTTGTGGACCAGCTCGCGGTCGTTGTTGCTCAGCTGCATGAGCTCTGAATATTCTGAACTGGTTTGGACCACAGCAGCTGGTTTTACTCCTTCTTGCAGGCAGCTGGAACCAGCTGGCTCTGGTGCTTCACATCTCATTTTACTTCCCTGCAGGACGTCCTGCTCAGGCCGCTATCTCGAGCTCTGCAAACTTCAATGGCACCGCTTCAGACCACAGCTGCTGTTACCTAATTCTTCTTCTGCTCAAACAAAACCTGCAGCAGCTGGAAAATCATCGAGCTGTCTGAGTCTGCAGAGGACGATGAGGACTGCCAGCAACAGGAGAGGATGGACGGGTTAACGAGCGTCCACGGGAGCCGATTATTGCTTTATTATGCATGGCATGAAGTTCAGGTCACAAGTGTGGCGCAGTTCATTTTGCAAGCACAAGCATGCGTCGCCTGCACAGCTAAGTGTTTGAAGTATCTGCGCAGGAGTAAAACATGAATACTACTGCAGTAGGCGTGGGCGTGCGCACCGTCAAGTACAAACATCCGACTCTCCAGCGAGCCCCTGACTGTGTGGATGAGCACACGAACTTTCAAAATAAGAGCAAGAGTCACCAGATACACCTGGAGAGGCCAGCTCATGTAAAGTCACCCTTCTCTATCTAATGTGCACAAATTCAAATGAGGTGGAGCTAAGAGGAAGTGATGCAACCCTTCGAGCACCACAAACCGCCGCTCCTTTGTGCGCAGTCAGAACAGCAGACACACATACCTCAACACCACCAAACCAACACTGACTGCCTCCACCCTGTTGCTGCAGCTCGCCACACACCTTGTACCTGCTCAATCTGCCTCAGCTCAGCTCAAACACCACCTTAGCAAACAGGATACCGCAGCTTGGGGAGGAGAGAATTCCACATTTTGTTTTTTAAATGCACAACTTCTATTACTGAAAAGTTTAGAAACTTTTGTTAGACTGGGAAAAAAAATCCCCTGCTGATCATCTGAGGGAAAAATGTGTGTATCTAATAAAATGGCCGCTAACGTTTAAACTCACCTCTACGAGGTTTCATTTCCATTTTCTGCTGCTGACTTTGGCTGGCTTTTAGATCTCGACCTGGACCCTCTCTTGGAGGAAGGGGTGCGGCTTCTGGACCTGGACCTGGACCTGGACCGGGACCTAGACCTGGAAGGAGAGCGCGCCTTGGTCTTCTTGGTCCTGGGGGAGCGGGACTTGGACCTGGAGTAGGACCGGGACCTGGATCTACTGTAGCGGGATCGGCTTCGAGAAGGCGTGCGGCTCCTGCTGCGGGATCTGCTCCGTCTCCTGCGTCTCGGGCTGGGGGAACAGCTGGATACATTCAGTGGGTTGAGTTACAGTCAAAGAAAAAAACAGCTGGATCTGAACTGAGGAGAACATGAGCTGCAGGGCTGGAGCTACAGTGAGCAGAGCTGGCAGTCAGGAGCCAGCTGGTTCTCCTGGTTAGCTCTGAGCCTCCAATCAGCTGGTCTGAAGACAACTTCCGGTCTTTATTTTAATCAAATAACTCATAAATCTCTGGATAATTAAATGCAATCATTGATAAATGGTGGAGTCTTAATTACAGTGTTGTGGGGAAAGTAAATGATCCACATTCAGTCAAGCTCGCTCTGCACACCAGAGATCCGGCCTCTCCTTACCTTCTGCTCCGCCGTCCGCTGTACCTCCGGCTCGGTCCTCCTCCTCGCCGTCCTCCGCCGTAATGGGAGTCGGGGGGTCTGCCGTACCGGGCCATCTGGACCCGCAGCTCCCGCCCGTCCAGCAGCGCGCCGTCCATGGCGTCCATCGCGTCTTCGGCGTCCCGTTTGTCGTGGAACCGAACAAACGCGAAGCCCCGGCTTTCCTTGGTGTAGCGGTCTCGCGGGATGTAGACGTCCCCTACCCGGCCGTACTTCTCAAACACCCGGCGGAGGGCTTCGGGAGAGGTCCGGTACGTTAGATTGTCCACTTTGAGGGAAGTCATGCCGTCGACGTCCGGCGGAGGCCTGCCGTAACTCATGCTGCCTGGCGCGAGAGGCCCGGGAAGCTCCTAGAACAGTCCGGAAAGTAACACAGATTGCGCCTGCGCGGCTCAAAACGCTACGCAGAGACAGAACGGAGCGATTTAAGCAGAATCTCGCGGATCTGGCTCAGTTTACTGCCGCCAAAAGCACAGAGCACGCCACAAATTTCTCCGAACCGCGCCGAGCCAGCAGCGACTAGAGCTTCTTCTTCCACGCGGAAAACAAACGGAGTGTAATCCGCTCCCGAGCGCCACGGTGCGGTGATTGCAGTCTTTACACTAAACACGAGGAAACAAAGCAAGATGTTTTTATTGGGTCATTCTACGATGTTATGTTCTCTCTGATAACTTAACAACTGTAGCTGCCTCCACCAGTGTGTGAATGTGAGAGTGAATGAATAGTGGTCAAAGGAGCTTGTAAAGAAATGAATAGTGGTATTGTAAAGCGCTTTGGGTGCCTTGAAAAGCGCTGTATAAATCCAATCCATTATTATTATTTATGTAGTGAATTATGTTGTTGAAATTTTGATTTCAAACTGTTGTCTAAAACACAGAATAATTCCTGAGAACTTCCAGAATGGCATTTTCTCTTATCTCTCTTATCCCAGCTTCCAGAAAAGCTAAGTGTGTGTGTGTGTGTGTGTGTGTGTGTGTGTGTGTGTGTGTGTGTGAGAAAAATAATATAAGTATAAATATAAGTATTTTACGAACATTTTATTCTACAGCTCCTCAGACGCCTAATCATTCTTCTGGACGAACTCGAGAGCTCCCCTACAGAACAGGAAACCCAGACGGTTTAAATATAATAGATGTAATATTAAAAAGAAATAAAACGGAAACGGAAACCAAGAGAAACGCCTAGCTCGCGGGTTCCACAAGAGCGGGTTGCGTGAGTTTCTTTCTGCGCATGTGCAAGTTTTTAGCCGTTTCCTTGTAGCAGCGCCTGTTAGCCTGTCAGCTGATTTCACTCACATGACTCTCGTTTTAGTTTCAGGTCAGTCCTGTTTATCGGTGCTGTGAAAGGGCTCCGGGAACCAGCTTTCCACGGCGGAAACATGGTGTTAAAGTTGGTTTAGGATCCGAACGGTGGTAATAAATGGCTGCGGGGGTTCCCACGAAGAGCTGACCGACTGAGTGAGGAGAAAAGCGGGCAGGTTAGCTCAGCAGCGTCGGTAGATTTGGTGAGCTGATCACGGCTGATTTTCACAACTGCTCTGTAAGCGTGACACTTAAAAAACTAAAAATAGTCTCTTGTCATTGGAAATAGTCTGGAGCATTTCCGCATTATGCATTTCTAGCAACGAGCAGCAGACCGAATCTCGTTTAGAAATGTCCAAATTAAACGCTCTTTCCTATAAAATCAGATAGCACACAAGTGAGAGCACACAGCTGTGTTCATTCACCCCAGACGGTCTTCTTTATAATTCGGCGTACATCACATCAGTCACACTACACTGCTTTGAAGGCAGTGTTGCTTTTTATCTTAATTCTTTATCAAACAAACGCAGAAAATGGGTGTTTGCGGTAAAACAGGCGGGATTTAAATGTCGCTTAGTTTTATTGCTGTTGACTGATTAAAGCTTCTTACAGACATATTCTGACATGTACTTCTTTTGTTTCTATTCTCAGATGAGCTCTTCACACCAGCAGTAGATTATTATTATTTTTGGTTTTTACTTCCTCTGGGAGTTCAGATAACCTCCAGAATGAGTCCAGAAGGGAAGAAGCTTTTAAACATCATCATCCTCGGCTTCGGCTTTATGTTCATGTTCACAGCCTTTCAGACATGTGGCAATATAGAGGTAAGTTTGTCACTGACCGCACTTCTGTCAAAATTAAGTAAACTTTACATCTTATAAGTCATTTTTTCTTTATCTTAACAGCAAACAGTGATCAAGAGCTTCAACAGCACAGAGTTCCACGGGAGCGGATACACGAGGTAAACAAGTGTCGGCTGGTGGCACTTTCTCAAATCGAATCAGTCGCGGCCAGAAAGCGCTGAGGGGTTAATTCAATCTAAGGTTAATCTTATTGAACCGTCAGAGTTTTCAGGAACCTTCCAGAAACCAAGAAGTGAGGAGACCATAATCACCGTCGATCATTTAAAGCTTCCAGCTGATTTTAAACAGTGAAAAGACGTCACATTAAAGTTTAAAACGGAGACGTTTCACTGTTTTTGTTGTTGTTGTTTTAAATCTATACTCATTTCAATTCGGTGCCAGCAGCAGAAAAAAACAGAAAAGCGTTCAGATGTCTGCAGAAGGCTCAAAAAACAACTTTCACCAAAAAAAACAAGCTAATGAAGGAAGTTGTTAACTACCAACCATGTGATTACAACCACATTTCCCATGATGCCGTATGAGTGGATCAAGCAGATCATCCGGAGTTTGTCAGTGTTCTGTGACCAAAGAGTTCAAGAGCATTTAGCTGAAGTAGAGGGCTTCGTTAGGACGTAACGTTAACAGAGGCACAGCCTTGAAAACAGCTGATTGGTGGAAAGCACTGCAAGGCCGTCAGCAGGAACCTAAACCGCTCGTTTTTCTTCTGTGCTGGTGGTTGTAAAGTTTGGTTTTGTGCACTTGGCGTGGCTTCAAATTTTAAAAATCCATCAATTAAAGCGAGGTGCCTGACTGTGCTCTACCTCTCGCAGCATGGCCATCATCTATGGCGTTTTCTCTGCATCCAACCTCATCGCCCCGTCGGTGGTGGCGGTCATCGGGCCCCAGCTCTCCATGTTCTTCAGCGGGCTTTTGTACAGGTACCTGCACACTCGCATCCACTCTTTTCCACCCCTTCAATAGAAAGCAAACCTCCTAATTCATGCACTGTCGTCTTCCACAGCCTGTACATCGCCATGTTCATCTACCCGTACACCTGGAGCTTCTACACGGCGTCCGTGCTGGTTGGAATAGCAGCAGCAGGTAAAGCAGCAGCATCCCTCTAGCCCTGATATTTGGAAAAGAAGCTTGGTCTGTGCACATATCTGACATTTTGATTTCTGCACTCTAGTGCTGTGGACAGCTCAGGGGAACGTCCTCACCATCAACTCCACGGACAGCACCATTGGAAGAAACAGTGGTATCTTCTGGGCGCTGCTGCAGTTCAGGTAAACCTTCAGGAGTACATAGTCAGGATATAAGCGTCGATGACCCCATGTTGTCCCCAGTTCGGTCTAACAGCCAAACCACTGCCGTACTTTCCCATAAACCTCAGAACGTTTCAGATTCTGCTCAATGACCACGTCAGCAGGCAGACCATAGACTGTATATAAAAGATGGATGTAGGTTTGGGGTCTGCCTGATGGCCAGCCGGGGGCGACTGTTGTGCCTGTAATAAGAAATCTGATTGGATATAAGCCTTACTGTCACTATGAACAGGTCAGAGGTCACCCAGCTGTACGGGAACCACGGTAACGATGGCGAGCTTTATGGCAGAGCATGTTCAGTGCAGCATGCTGGTAAATATGATACTGTGGTGCTCGTGAACAGCTCTCACCGTGAGTGGCTCACGTGAACAGGAACGGTGGATTCTGAAACTCATGACGCTCTGTGGGAAGTTCAGTCACATGATGATTTCTGTGCACGCCTTTTTAAATATCCTCCCTCCCTCTCTCTGCAGCTTGTTCTTTGGAAACCTCTACATCTACTGCGCCTGGCACGGACACGTCCACATCACAGGTCTGAATCCAGCCGTTTTCTTTGAGCTCTCTGCCTCACACGGCGCTTTTTATAGCATTAACTTCCTGTGTGGTCGTCTCATGAAAAGCGTCTGACTCATGCTGTTCCTCTCAGACAAGGACCGGCAGACGGTGTTCATCTCTCTGACGGTGATAAGCCTGGTCGGCTGCTTCCTCTTCTTCCTCCTCAGGAAGCCTGATTCTGAATGCTCTTCCTCTGCTGAGGCGACTGAGCCGCTGCTGCAGGAGGAACCCTGCGACAACACCGCAACCAGGTGAGCACTCAGGTGACATTATGGTTTGTGTCTGTGTACGCAGAGGCGTGTGCAGCCTCGTGGGTCAGGCGCTGATTGGATGGAACAGGACGAGGAGCAACAACAGAGCAAAAAAACCCCAAAAACGCTCAAAGATCACGAGAGACTGCACACGCCGCTGCAGCGGGACTCTCTCGTTGTTTCAACCTTCAGCTCTGTTAGAGCGCCTCTTCACTGCCCCCTGCTGACAGAAAACAGCTACAACATGCAGACTGTGGTCTGCAGGCGTAGGGCCATCGCTCAAGAATGGAACGGATGTCATTTGGGTGACTGAGTTCAGGAAAAGATGGAGATGTCTCTGCGTGTTGCTTTTTGTTATTAAAGACCTGGAAATGATGCATTTCAACAAAATTCCGTTTTATTTTAAATAATTCTGCTTTTTAAGACTTTATTGTGACAGAACGGTGGACAGGCGGCAGGGAAAGATGCGCAGTAACACCGTTTCTTTTTCGTTTCTTTTTTTTCTTTTTCACTATGACCTACTTCGACTTCCTGGTACCAGGATTTTTTTTTATAATGCCTGCTCAGCCACTGATTGGTCAGGGAGGGGCGTGACTAGAGGAGTCATCAGCGGGGCCATCAAAGCTCCATTTTTAAAAAAGAAAAAAAAATCCAGCAGTGAAGGAAGTGTGTGCACGCGCCGCCTTCGTGGGCTCTCGTGTTTCATCCTGGGAAAAAGCTGCAGAGCGAGCAGCAGGTGGACCCTTAGCTCGATGTCCTCCATTGTTGCTCGTGTCTCATTGAAATGAGGGCACAGGACTTTCTGCCCACTTTGCCTTAATGACCCAGTTGGAATGGAAAATGAGTGAAATGCAATAGAGCTGAGTCGAGTAGATGCTAGTGGGAAATGACCCCGGTGTGGATTCAGACCCCACCTCTGCATCAGCCTCACCTGCTCCACCCGGCGAGCGTTCACGTGTTTACGGCTGCTACAGAAACACATCTCCCGATGTTACACGCACTGACAAATATATGGAAGCTTTGAGCGTTTTCACTGCTGTCGTTGTGGTTTAAAACACAAACAGGCTGTGATGTGGAGTGGGCGGGTCCGACTGTGAAACTGCAAGCTCATTGGCTCATCACTGTCCAATCACACAGATTGGCTGCACGGCTTCACTTCACTTAGACACGAAGCTCTGATCTCAAACAGGGAAATGATTCATAATTTAAAGAAAATGAGAAAAACGAGGGTATGGAAACTTTTTCTCAGTCATTAATAATTCAGGTGATCAGTGTGCTGCGTGAGTTACAAGTACATTCAAAATTAAAATTGAGATACGTTTTAAATAAGAGCTCCGTGTATTATGGGAAGTAGATTGTTAATGTTCAGGAAAATTCTTTTTCTTTCTTTCCCCTTAAAAGCCGGATGGGTGCCGTGGTTCTCTGGTCCACGGGAGGAAGGATAATTATTTCAGAGGGACTGTGGAAATGAGACGGGCGACCTTTAACTGTAAACACCATCCTTTGTGGTCTTTTGTGCATTTCTTGGGACACCGTCTCCGGGATACCAAGGCGGCTCAGGAAGGAGGGCCCAAATATAAATATGAACCTTAGAAGGTCGAGGGGCCGAAACTTTCACGGTGACTGTTTAAATGAGCATGATGGACCTCCCCCTCTCTCTCCTCTCTGCAGCTCTGGATGCTCTCACCTCTGCTCTCAGGCGCTCGACGCGTTTGGTGAGTTTCTGAAAAAATACCCTCGCTTTCTCGCTGTAGCTGAAACGTCCCGAGCGGCGTGTTAACCTCTGCCGTCCTGTCTGCAGTCAAAGCGTGTAAGCTGTTCATCACCAGAGAAATGCTGCTGCTGGGCGTCTCCATCGGATACACAGGTGGGTGGAGACGAGCTGGGCGAGGAGAGGACGGTCTCCTCCTTTAAGTCACAATCAGATATGTGTTATGAAAATAACTGAATGCAAAAAAGCTGCTCAGTGCACATTTAAACACGACTGATACTGAAGCCCCTCGAACTGACCCGATGCCTGCGGCTCCGTCAGGTTTGGAGCTGACCTTCTACAGCGGCGTGTACGGCACGTGCATTGGCGCCATGATGAGGTTCGGCCAGGATGCGAAGAGTTTGATCGGGATCTCTGGGATCTGCATCGGCGTGGGCGAGATATTAGGTGAGTCATCTTCATTCGCCTGAAGGGAAAACGCCGCAGGGCGAGAACAAGGAGACGAGCTGAGTGTCGCGTCTCTCCGTCAGGTGGCAGCGTGTTCGGGATACTGAACAAACGCATCGGCTTTGGGAGGAACCCCATCGTTCTGCTCGGGCTCGTCACCCACATCATCGCCTTCTACCTGATTTTCCTCAACATCGCCAGCGACGCTCCGCTGGCCCCGGAAGAAGGAACAGATCTGGAGGCCTTCATCACCCCCAGGTAAAGAAAAATCACGTGAGGCGCTGAGGTGTGAGTCATAACAACAAAATTGACTTTTAAAAAAATAATTTGTTATCAAACTAATAAAAAAGGAGAGATGTTGATGAAAAAATAAAAGGTTTTAATATATATGATTATTAATAAATGTGTGTGCATTTAAAATAAAACCGAAATGACTGAAATAATGCAAATGAATGGTTGTTACCTTTTCACAATAAAAGCCTTGTTCTCTTTCCCGGGAGCCTCCGTTACGAGCCCTCTGACTGTGTTCAGACTTTGGTTTTCTAAACTTATTTAAATGATGCTGTCGGGTTAACGTTACCATTTGTGTGCCTCAGCGTGGGCGTGGCCTTGTTCTGCAGCTTCCTGCTCGGTCTGGGTGACAGCTGCTTCAACACGCAGCTCCTCAGCATCATCGGCTTCATGTTCCACGACAACAGCGCCCCCGCCTTTGCCGTCTTCAAGTTCATCCAGGTGACACAAACGCTGAACAGGAGAGTGTATTGTTTTACAGCTGAGTTTTATTTTGAATTAACCTGTGTTTGTCATTTCCTGTGCAGTCCATCATGGCCGCTCTGGCCTTCTACTACAGTAACTACCTGCTGTTGCACTGGCAGCTGCTCATCCTGGTCGTGGTGGGGTTTCTGGGCACGATAACCTTCTTTAAGGTGGAGCACATGGCCAGCTCCAGCAGGCGGCAGTCGGACTACGACAGTATCTGAGCCGGGCCGGATGACGAGGGCACAGCTGGAGTTTTTTCGCTCTCCACTGCTGGAAAGGAAAAAAACCTCGCCCAGGGACGACCGGCCCACAGACTGATGCTAGCTGTGGTACATTTAGATTCTGAACCCGGGACCAAACGCTCCTCCTGATCTCAGCATTTACCCAATTAAATCAAACGGCATGTGTGACGGTGGTGTGCACGCCTCATATACCTCGTTTAGTTTCATAACCAGACTCCTCCTTCTTGTGCACTCGGTCTGTAAATAAACTCTATTCAAGGCAAAGAGAGTAATAATCCCACTGCTCGTGTTGGCGTCACGCTGTTAGGCCTCCTTCAGTGGACCAACTTCCATCTTGACAACAAATTCTGTCATCTGTTAGAAACATACAGGAGAGCTCCACAGAAACCACACCCACCTGAGGGGGAAAATGGCGTCCAGATCACTGAGCCAATCACTGAGCAGTTTTAAAAGGTTAAACATATTTGTAGGGTTTTTTCTGGATTTGTTGACAAGAAGAAAAAGGTTTAAGTTAAACGTCTATACTCTATCTGCACAAATCCAGCTCTGGTTACAGCCAAATGCTGAAGGGTTGTCACTCATGGGTGTCTCATAAATATTTTCTTCCTTCTAATGTTGGAGTGAAGCGGTCACAGACTGCGATTCACGCCACATGAGGCAGTTTTACTGTTCTCGGCTGTTCGGCTTTAAAATTAAGCCGTTTTTATTTAAAGAGAAACAAAAAGAAGTCCCTTCTTCTGGTGTCAGATCCACGTTCACCCCTCGTCTTCTGTTCTTTTACACGACTGGTTTCGCTGTAATGAGATCCGTGTCGTCAAAGTGCATCTCTGCGGTCCAGGAAGCAACTCTTAATCAGGCGTGGCTGACGGCGCTCGGCTCAGACTGCAGAGCACACGATGTTCTGTTCGTGCCTCTAAGGACAGGAAAAAGTTGTTTTTTTCTTCCTCATCTTTGCTGCTTTTCTCACCTCTTCGTGTTTAACAAAAAGAAAAAGTCAGGGTTTTTGGGGTTTTTTGTTTTTTTTCTGCGCTGATGGTGGCGGACAGAGTTGAAGCTACACAGACTTTGACCTAAAGGGTCTCAGTGATTGGGTATCTCTAACATTTGGTGGCTCACACGGGTAGGTGTCTACAGTAAAAAGAGAGGGGAAAATGCTTGTTCCTACAAATCCCATAATGCAACATCCACTGAACTGTTTTTCCCTTCCTCGTAAAGGCACCCTGTGCAGTTTTTTCCCACTAGGGGGTGCTATTTCACTTAGTTTGAATAACTTTTGGTAAACGTTACTATGGAGGTGTCACCAAAAACATGAGAAACCATCATGGGGAGATATCCAGCGTTTTCCTGCATATAGGGGTGAAAAATCTGTCCTTCCACTAAAAGAAAATCACCAAAACTGATTGTTTTTAACAGCTTTTACTCTAGAAATAAAAAAATAAAAATGAAATGGCCAATAATAAGAGGACATGCACTTATTAATGTGGTCTAAGGAAATGCAGACTTTTTACACTGACTGTACATAGACTGGTCATGCCTACATGTGCAGCTCACTTCCTTAAACCACATTTTAACTCAACCAAATGAACTTCAAAATTTCCCCATTTAATATTAATGATCGGGATTAAAAATATGATTAAACTAAAAGAACACAAATATAACAAACTGTGCCCTCGTTCATCTTTCTGCTCGTCATCTGACTCCCCTCTGCCCGTCTTGAACTGAACTTAATCGTTCCTTTGGTTCAGGTTTAGTCAAATGATAAATTCTTGTTTAAAAATAGTTAAAGTGCCACAAAATGAGTCGAAGCAGTTGTGATGTTCTGTTAGATGGTGCAGTGAGTTGGTATAGCCTTTAACCAGTTAAATCATCATGATATATTCTCACTTATGATGGTGGACTGTAGCTCAACACGTGAAAACACTGCCACCTAGTGTCTGCAGCGTGCACAGGGTAATCACAGAAGGTATCTTTATTGAGGTCAAGCCTGTCTGGGCTGCTGCTCAGTGCAGATTCACAGTTTCACTCTGGTTTAAACTGATGTGACGCCAAACAGACACAGCGTGACATTTGAGCCTTAATGCTTTTTGTAATGTTGCCATGGTGACGACGAGCAACTTCAGACATGCTGTAGTTTCTTTTTTTTCCTGTTCCAAGTGTCAAACAACGAATGGCCGTACACTATTGTAGTTAATTTATTGCTGGGAGTCGGGTTTGCTCAACTTTGGTTCATGTTGCTACTGCAGTGAACGCAATCAAAGGATAAATAAGGGAAATGTACCAAGATGATGATTTTATACTTGAATGTAATTAAAAATGACACCCAAACTTCTGCCTGCATGTTTTTCTTGTCAATAAAATACTGTTTTCTGCATTCATTGTGTTTACATGGAGAGCTCCACAGCTTTAAAGACGGAAACACGAGATGATCTGAACAGAGCCGTCGGTCACTTCAAACACACCTGGATCCTCACTGACTTTTGAGTTATTTGTGTGTGTCACACACAAATAACTCAAAAGTCAGTGGTTTAGCGTCACGCTAAACCAAAGAGAAGTTCCTCTAATGTCCACAGGAGGCTCCAGCAGTAAGTCAGTCCCCGCAGACTCCTGTGTTAAACCTCTGCAGCAGCAATAATCATGCTTACTGCCTGATACACAAACTGTTCTGGGAGAGAGCTGATGTGTTTCCAAGGGTGATGGAAACTGAAACTCAAGAAAAAAATCTAAAAGAATAAGACATCTGTGAGCTATATCAGCTCTGTGATATGAATGATTTTCACAGTGATTTCAGAGCAGACGGTGATGATGTGAGTCTGTGTTTTTCTTCTCTACTTATAGAGACTGTGGCTGCGAGTTATTTGCCTTCAAATATGTCCTTTTATTGTTCATTTTATTATGATACTCATTAAATAGCTCCCCTGACAAATCCTACCCATGCCACATAAAAGAATACGAAAACCTGATGCAAGTGATTAAATCTCATTTTCAACAAACCAAAAACTCAACAATCAGTTTCTCCGTGGAAGCGAAGTAAAGCTGGAAACAGAAGATAAAAGTGAAGTGTAAACTAAAAACCATGTAAAAAAATAAACTCATCCTAAAATAGTCCCGGACGCTTTCGTTTCCACTCGAGAGCTCTCAGAAATCCGCTTTTCCTCAACACAGCCTTAGGGCTGCTTGTTGCCTGGCAACAATCAACGCTACGAGCTTTCCAACGTGGGACTGCCGCGCGACACGACGTCAAGTAAGAGTAAACGGCCAACACCACATCCGGTTACCGTCTTAACAATAAAAGTATAACTGGTAAATATTGCTGGCAAGATTCACAACAGAGCCGAAAGACGTGGCGCTAATCTGCATATTTATATAATAAAACCGGTCATGTTAGCATGATTAAGATTTTTGTTTCCACAATACGGGTTTTAGTTTGCATTCAAACTTTATTTTGAGAGGTCAGCGTTTGTGCATCCGGCAAATATGGCTAGCTTGTTAAGTGGGGGCTGCTGTTTTCTGTTGAACGTGACGAGATTCCAGCACAAACCCGAGATTACCGCCGCTGGTGGGATGTCTGGCTGAAACACCGGAAAACCGACTCTAGGGAAAGACCACTGACACTTGTAATTGTTTTTATTATAAATACCGGGTCTTGAGTAGCTAAGGTTTGAGCTAACGTTAGCTTCACGGTAACGGTTTAACGGTCCGTCAACCATGTCGGAGGAGGTGAGTCTGTACGACCTGCTGAACCTATCCATCGGGACCCCCCAGAAGTCCTCCGTGAACTTCGGCGCCCTCCACTCGCTGCTCCTCGCCATGCTGAAACAGCTGAATCTCCGGGAGGTGAAGACCCGGTGGAGGGACTCCTCTCCGGGTTATTGGAGCCCCGATCTCACGGCGGCAGAGAAGGAGGTTCAGGTGGAGGTTCAGCCGGACACAGACTTCCAGAATCGGGCAGCGACTCCCTCATGCCCGGGCCCGGTCCCCGACCAGCTGAACCTCCTTTCCCGCATCCAGACATGTGAGGACGGCCTCTCTAAGGTGAAGTACTCAAAGACCACCTTAAAGAAAAACCACCTGTGATCACTGAGAAATACATCAGAATCTGTATGATGATATACAATCAGTGGGAGATTAAATATAAATTCATACACTTCATACATTTAAATGGAGAAACCTTGTGCTCGATGACACTGCGTTCATAAACAAAACAAAACAAAATAATAAAACAGAAATATTCCTTCACCTGAAGTTAAATGAGCAGGAAGGCAAAGTCACCCACTCAGTGGCTCTGATTCACTCTTAAACAAACCAGTTATCGTTCGCCATGTGTCATCCCAACCACCTGAACACAGAGTTTTCGAAGTAAAGAAAGGTTTGGTGCCCGTTTCCAATAAATCAAATTACCGAGGTTGACCTCAGTGACCTCACAACCAATGGCCACCCAGTAATAACCATGGTTCCCACAGTGTGCTGGGCACCAGTGTAACATCCATAACCTGCAGTCACTGTCCTGTGTTTGTTGAATTGTTTGAAATTACTGTCGGCTTAAAAAACAACAGTTCCTCAGTTTATGCTCCTTTTCTGGCAGTGCTGAGAACGCAACTTTATTAACATCTGCAGCGTGGACGTGTAACAGTGATTAACAGGCAGTATGATGTGGTGACACCACACTACTGTCGTGGTCTGCCTGTTGGTACCATGTATTAAACAATCATCACATTTTTGCGCTCTGGGCCGCTTTAACTGCGCTGACACCTGTAAACGTGCGTGCGCCTGATTTCTTTGGTGGTTTTGTCGCCTTTTTTGCATCTTAAAAAGAAAGAAATCCTTGTTTTTCGAGACACCGAACATCAGTGCCAATGCTGTTGCCTGATGTGGTGGGTGATGCAGTAATGTTCAGAGACGAGCTAAAAGACTACATTTGTTTGTTTTTAGTGAATATGTATTGTTTTCCTGCACAAAGTGAGAATAAAGAAACAATAAAGCGTCAGTAAAGACGACACACTGTAGATAACTATATGACGCTGCCCCTGACCGTGGCCCAGCGACTTCTTCTCTTCTTCCATGTCTGGCTTGCAGTGGTGAACATTTCAGCATATTACTAAGCCGCTGATGATAGAGCAGAGCACAATGGGAGATGGGCGCCACCCTGACATCTCAAATGACCCCGGAGTGTCCCCGTTCAGGTTTCTGCAGAGCTGCCGCCGGCAGATGAGCACATACATCATCATCAGGCCGCCCAGCAACATTTTGATCTTAAAAACGTCATGCAGCGTGGAGGACGTTAAAGGTCGGAGGTGTTTGTGGTTCACACGTTGCTGCCTCCCCCTTCCCCTCCTCCTCCGCCTTGCACTCTCCTCTCTGCGTGATAGGGGGTAATTAGTCCCCTGCAGAGATGCCTCTGGTTGTCAGGGGATGAATAGCTCTCAGGTGAAGAGCGGGACACCGAGCAGGTGCACGGAGGTGCGGCTGAATCATTCATGTCCTCTGTGGGCTCGGCCCGGGTCAGCTGCTGTTTCTGCTGGCGCGCCCTCTTCATCCGGCTGCATGACCTCAGTGTGTTCTCCATGTGAAAGGCCGGACGGCAGGCATCGCCCATTAATCTGACAGATAGCTGTTTACCTGAACATGGCTTTTGGTGCATCGGGGGGGGGGGTTCTAGTTAATGAGTGACTGATCTGAACGAGGCTGGAGTGTAACCAGAACACAGACGGAGCTCGGAGCCCTCACAGAACTGTTCCGCCATGTTGGCGAGTCTTTTTCCTAAATCAGTTTGAGAGACATCAGCAGGTTCTCGTTATTTAGAGAAGCGGTCATGAATATTTTGGATATGCAAGTGATAGGACTTCATCTAATGATGATTTCATAATGTTCTCCATTTACTGATTGAGTTTTTGCTTTCTGAACATTTTGGTTGTGCTGAGTTAAAGGCCGCCACCAGCCATAACATAGACTGTAGATAAATGATGGACAAAGCTAATGTGACCTGCTGGTTTTGGTCTCATTTTTGCCAGAAGAGACCATATTTGTTCCAGAGCGAGCAGCGTGGGAGACTGCACAGGAGCATCACACTGACTTGGATACCTGCTGATCAGTGCTCGGTAACATCCAATTAAAATCCTCAAATTTCACCCAAACTGGAGCTCAGACTTGTTGGACTGCACAGCAGCCTTGTTAGCCAAAAGTCATCCCAGAAAGCAGCGAATCAGAGTCTGTGTTTTATACCAAAGCATGAGCGTCGTAAAGCTGAGCAGGTAGCTTTGGTGCTGAAAGCGAACCAAGCAGCGGGAGAGTTTTCCCGAAGCGTAATGAAGAATCCGGATTAGATGTATGGGAATGTGATTTGTTTTAAAGTGTTCGAAGCGTCCCGATGACCCCGGACACAAGGTGAGGCTGCACTCATTAACCAGCTCTGAGTCACTGAGGCCCGAGCCGTGGGGGGTCGCCATGCATCACTCGGCACATTTGACACAAGTTAAACAGCAGCTCGCACACAGCTCAGGAATTTCCTTTGCTTCGGCGTGTAAGGACAGATCGAACCGTGTCCGTTTGCTCTGCAACACACCTCACGCCACCCCCACAGGAAGTGTAAATGACCCGCAGGTCAAAGAGCCGATCATCAACCCAACGCACTTCACGCTACATCCATCAAATTAAATTAAAAAAATAACAACATCAGAGCACATCAGCTTCCCTATTCTGATGATTTCTCTCATTATTGGACAATTATTGTACTACAGCAGTTATTTCATAATGTACGTCACTGCCACACATGGACATCCACAGAAAATGAGTCCAGCATCTTGTACCACTAACCCAGGCATCAGCAACCGCTGCTGTGACAGCGCCAGTATTCATCCAGATCATCCATAATCTATATCTAATCCATACATCAGCACAAATCGCAGGACCAGATGCGAGATAAGAAAGAAAAACCAGTTTGAAAAATCTCCCAGATCAGTGAAACAGCAGTACAGACACGCCCCCACCCACACATCTGACTTCCTGTGACAACTCCTCTGCCAATCGGTGAGCAGAAAACCACCAGGCGTCACCTTTTACACACCTCCAGGATGAGAAGCAGTTTTTTTGTAGTGAAAATGTGCGGCGTACTGATTCGAAGCTGTGTGCTGTGTCTGCAGTCGACGAGGCTGATCCTGGACCTGAACGAGCAGAACGAGCGTCTGAAGGAGCAGATGGAGGAGCTCCGGCAGCAACACGAGGTCGGGCCGTGCACAGCGAAACACACCGCAAACACCACGACCGATCAAACAGCACAAAGAAATAACACTGAAACGTTTTCAAATGATTACAGTCAATTAGAGCAAAAACAAAAAGTCACAAACGCTGGGACAGATTCTGTCACCTGCACCGATTCCAAGCTGCTCTGATGAAGCTCCACGTACGGACGCTGCTGACCACAAAGCAGATGGTCCCGCTCCTCTTTAGCCCGCAGGACCATCTGGAGTGAGATCGGGCCAAATTCATTAAACATTTTTAATTATGTTTAATTTTTCAAACTTATTCTATGAAACTCTGATCCAGGTTTTATGGAAGTGCTTCTACTTTCAATAATCAGAAATCAAACAGTCAGTCAGAAAACTCAAAGAGCCTGATATACTTTATTTCTACTTTATACTTATTTAGATATACTTTATTTCTACTTTATACTTATTTAGATATACTTTATTTCTAC